TAAGTTAAAATGATCAAGAAACATTTCTGTATTAATACTAGTCTTATCTTTGAGGCCATACATAATAATTCTCTACTACTGTAGGTAGAAATTCTAAAGTTATTGATAGTCATCTTTTCACATATTGCATCTCAAACATTTTCAACTACTTAGGCCTGAATTCTGACATTCTATTACTCTTGACTTTCTTTGATATGTTGCAACGACCTTATATCCATGTGAAAACATGACACCAAACTCCATCATAGTATGGAATCTGCTAGTGCAAAATTCAGTGAAGCTATTTTTAAACTTTCTACTCATACTGAATTCCTATTAATCTACTTCAAAATGTTGTTATCTTTCTCAAGCAGAGCCCATGATGACTTTTCGAAAGTGCGTGCATGTTTTATTAGCATGCATTAATTTTACTATGTGATGTTATACTTCCATATACTCATATGATGAATTTTGATCTCTTTACCCTCAAATTTTAAAAAATATAATCAGTTTTATTCTCATCTTTAAATTTTAAAACCAAGTGCAATTTTGTTCATTAACCTCAATTATACTTTAATAATCTTTTGTTTTAATTCTTCATCTCGGCCTTTAATATCACTTAGAATATTGACTTGGTGTTCTCTTGTATTGGATCATTTTTTAAAAATGTATTATAGATTTGATGAGGTTTTTATCTTTGCTTTTTATTTAAGTAATTGATAAAAAAAAAAACCTTAAAGAATTCTTGAAATCTGTAGTTCCGAGGTCTCAAGTAGGCATTTTATGTCTTGTTTTTAAATTAAAAGTTGTGCTCATCACACTTTGTGAACCTACCTACTTAGAACTATGTGGAAGATATGAATCAGAATCTAGACTGCAACAGAGCATACCTGAGTTTTATTTTACATTTTCCTTATGAACTTGTAATATATATTTAATTCTCTATACATGGGATGATTATCAAAAATAAACATACTGTCATCAACATAATCTTCAATCATGATTTTGAACCATTACTACATTATTTAAACATATTCGTACCTTAATGAATTTCATTGTTAAAAAAGAATCACATAACTGACCTAAAGTTTGTGAATTGTCTTTAAGATACTACATTTATCATCACTTTAATGGCCCATGGAAGAATTGATATTTCTGTTTCAACTTTACTTTTTAACTATATCCCTATTGTAGTGCTTTTATTCAGAGAATAAATCATGAAGGAAATGTCTTAGAGCAAAATAAGTTCCCATCAGTTTATGTGCTCCATGTTTACAAAGGCATCATTGCCTAATTACAGCTGTATCGGCCCACAAGCCACAGCTCAGAGGGGTTCAGTATAAGGCAATAACAGAGTCTTTGATGTAGAGCCCTTAACACAAGACAATGCAAATGACATTTACTAGCAATTTTTTCCCCCATTAATGAACAGTACTTCAGGGAGTGTAAAAGCAAGAGGCATATAATTTCTGAACTATTTAAATTGCTAATTAGAGCTGTACAGGAGGTGTCTTCTAATGCAACCGATTACAACGGGCTCCTAAGTGTTTGCCTTACAGTTGCTAATTACTGCAGAAGCCAATTAATTGCTGTTGACTTTTGTATTCTTTTGCATATCACCAGTTAATATTTACATTTATAATGAAGACAAAATTGGCAAACACTGTGTCATTTTGTAATGAACAATTCCAATGTCTAAACAATGAACACATTATCCTCATTTGTGCCTGAAGAGTGAGCTGATTAGCATATGTTCTGTGCATGCTAGAACATTGCTCTTCTCAAGAGTAAAAACATCACTTTGGGGCAGGACATACAGGTGCAGTGTCTCCAGGGTTCTTGGAATTATTTTCTACCATATGTCATGCAGCAGGGAACAAAATAACAGGTACATAAATGTACAATATTAAAATGATCTGTGTTTTTCCATATACCTATGTGTGTTAGCTTTCTATTAATACAGAAATACCTGAGACGATCTGCTTATAAATAGAAAATGTTTATTCTTTTCCAATTTTGGGGTGTTTTAGGCCACAATATATTGGTCCCATTGTTGGGGGCCCCATTGCAGTGATGAGGCAGCACATATTACAGAAATGTATTTGCAGTGTGAAAGTCTTTACCCCAAGTCTAGAAAGCAGAGGAAAGAGAGAAGGGGCTAGTGTTGTACTATATATACCCTTCAAGTATTAAAGTAGCAAAAAGCCCCATAAATTTAACTGGTCAAGACTATAAAATCCCTAGTCTATCCGTTGGAAGACCCACTTTTACAGTCTCACTGGTCAACCACCTAGTGATGGAACCACCCTTAAGAAGGCAGGATCATCTTACGTTATAGTAAACAGATGGGTGCAATACCTGGTGGTGATGAATTTTTCCTTCCTGGAATCCCAGTTCTAGCACAGAACTCCACAGAACTTCCAGAGGAACACAGTCATGTGGGTCTCTGTAAGTCTACCTTTCTGAATCATTGAGGAAGGTATAATTTCCCCTTTTCTGTTTTCTCCAAGGCTTTGGGCTGCCTCAGCCTCTTGTATCTCTTTACTTTTTCTCTAAAGCTTCTGACCTTCTTGTGGGTTCTAAACCTGCATGGCTTCATGGCTTTCTTTCCTTCTTCCCACCATTCACCTTCTCAAGTCAGCTGCCAAGATTAGCAGCTCGCCTGCTCTAAGGATTTTTCTTTAAGATTCTAATAAAATTGTAAAAGCTTCCCTTCAGGTCCATTCTCAAATTACTTTATGAATGAGATGAAGAAACTTCTAAGGGACCCTCTTTCTCCCTGTTTCACAAGGGCATTCTTTGAAGACTTCCCAAGGGGCCCCATTTTTAAAGCCTCCACCACCTCCCAACAGTGTCATGCTGGGGAATCAAGGTGTCAGCATGTGGACTTTTGTAAAACATTCTAGCTCCAAACTACCATAGTAAGTACTAAGAGCATTCTGGTTCTTTCTGCCAACTGAGTATCTCTTCCTGCTTGCCTCTGCATTCTCCTGTCATGCTGAACACTCACTAACAATGCTCAAAACACCAGATCATGAAAATTTCCAGCTTTCTTCAAGTCCATCATTGGGCACTAGTCATGATCAATTCATATGCACCTTTCCGGCCCTGCATTCATGATCTAACAGGAAGAAGAAGCAGGGAACATAAAGGAAATTTCCAGTGATGACAGTAGTCAGCCAAGCACACTGTGTTTGGTCACAACATCTGGTGTTCAGTGCTCAGGTGTCAAGAGAGAGAAAACAGTAGCACACAGCAGTTGTTTGAGCACGTAAGTTGTTTTACAGGCTGTTGCTTATTTTCTCGCTTTGTACCCTTGTATCTAGTCTTGTTCTTGTTGATTCTGAGAGCAACTTAGTCATTGAACATTGTAATAATTCCCACCTAAATCGGTTTCTTTTACTGAGTATTAAGAACAATTGCATGCATTTTGTATTTCTGAGAATGGGTAGGGAATACATATATTGCCCAGAGTATCATGTTTATGTATTCTTTAACCTTTTATCAAATACTTTATTCAACTAAGAGCTAAAAAGAACAGATGTATCCATTTCTAACTTTGTATTACTACCAAAGGCAAATAAATAAAATACAAATGCAAGACAGCATATGCGTACATGTGAAACCCTTGTCTTTATTTGGACCTGCCAAAGCGGGTAAGTTGGAAATCATTCTTTTCCTAACCAGCACATTTATCAACATATACACTGTAAACAGTAGGAGCGTGAAGTGACTTTGTCAACCAGCTTTACAATAGTAAAGACAGAACATTCATTCATTCCCAGCTACCACTGGGCCACCGGATGACGAGAGAGAGAGAGAGAGAGAGAGAGAGAGAGAGAGAGAGAGAGAAAGAGTTTTTGTATGAAAAAATTTCTCTCTTGAATGAGAAAACTTCCCACTATGATAGATGTACTATGCTGTTGTTCCACAATTTCTTCTCTAGCCCAACAGTCTGACGTACAACACAGAGAATTAGAAAAGAAACAAATGCATACTGAATAACTCAACTTGAAAAAATTACACTATCCAAATAACTAAGAATGTTGAAAAGGGTTTCAATATACTATAAGGGTGCTGAATAAAAGAAAGAAAGAGAGAGAGAGAGAGAGAGAAAGAAAGAAAAAAGAAAGGAGAAATAAAAACAGGAAACAAAAAAACAAAAATTAAACATTTAGCAACTCATTCTCCAAAACTAGAAAATCTCTGATTTGTACATCACCCTCCCTTTGCTTTAAACATCATCACCATGATCTCTTTCATCTTACAAATGAGATTTTTACTTAACACAATATTGGAAAGAGATGTTCAGTAACACTCTATATATGTTTCCACCATATAGATGTAAAGAGAAATACATTGTATAAAATACAAATAATCCCCATATAATAATAAAATGTCATAAAATAACTGGTAAATTTGGAGTTTATATTATTTTGATAAAATTAATTTAATTATGTAAGGTTATAAAATTAAATGAATAGCTTTACTTTTAATAATAATCTCTGAAATTTGTGAAAATTTAACAATTGCTCTTGCAAGTGAGTCATCATGAGCTGGCTTTGTCATGCTGCTAATGAAAAGCTGTATGTGAAAGATTCCCTGATGCAGGGGTGCTACTCTTTCCTCATTACAACAATGTTCAGTCCATTTGGAGCAAAGATTTCAAGATTTACTTGGCTGGGTAATTCTCAAAGGAAGTTACATTGAAAGAATTATATTTACCTTGACAGTTACTGTTACTTCTTAATGCACTTCAAGGAGCAATTGTGGAACACACCACTACCAATACTGTATATTACATGTCCTCATGATGGTTAATCTTGATTGTAAACTTCACTAAATGAGAAGCACATGGCTTAGTATATACATCTGAACTTGTCTGTGAGAAACAGGGAGAAGGTCGTCCCTTAGATATTCAAATGTAACCAGTTCTGTTCCATAGATAGAATGGAACATAGAATTAAGGAGAGACAGTCCCTGTGAATGGAGACATCTTCTCCTTCAGCTTCTTTGCCATCATGAGGGCAACAGCCCCTCCATATCTCACAGGTGAACAGCCTCCTCCTCATCTCACAGGTGAACAACATCTTCCATTTCTCACAGGTGAACAGCCTTCTCCATATCTCACAGGTGAACAGCCTCCTCCACATCTCACAGGTGAACAGCCTCCTCCTCATCTCACAGGTGAACAGCCTTCTCCTCATCTCACAGGTGAACAGCCTCATCTCACAGATGAACAACATCTTCCATTTCTCACAGGTGAACAGCCTTCTCCACATCTCACAGGTGAACTGCCTCCTCCTCATCTCACAGGTGAACAGCCTCCTCCTCATCTCCCAGGCGAACAGCCTCCTCCTCATCTCACAGGTGAACAGCCTCCTCCTCATCTCCCAGGCGAACAGCCTCCTCCTCATCTCACAGGTGAACAGCCTCCTCCTCATCTCCCAGGCGAACAGCCTCCTCCTCATCTCACAGGTGAACAGCCTCCTCCTCATCTCCCAGGCGAACAGCCTCCTCCTCATCTCACAGGTGAACAGCCTCCTCCTCATCTCCCAGGCGAACAGCCTCCTCCTCATCTCACAGGTGAACAGCCTCCTCCTCATCTCCCAGGCGAACAGCCTCCTCCTCATCTCACAGGTGAACAGCCTCCTCCTCATCTCCCAGGCGAACAGCCTCCTCCTCATCTCACAGGTGAACAGCCTCCTCCTCATCTCCCAGGCGAACAGCCTCCTCCTCATCTCACAGGTGAACAGCCTCCTCCTCATCTCCCAGGCGAACAGCCTCCTCCTCATCTCACAGGTGAACAGCCTCCTCCTCATCTCCCAGGCGAACAGCCTCCTCCTCATCTCACAGGTGAACAGCCTCCTCCTCATCTCCCAGGCGAACAGCCTCCTCCTCATCTCACAGGTGAACAGCCTCCTCCTCATCTCCCAGGCGAACAGCCTCCTCCTCATCTCACAGGTGAACAGCCTCCTCCTCATCTCCCAGGCGAACAGCCTCCTCCTCATCTCACAGGTGAACAGCCTCCTCCTCATCTCACAGCTGAGCCCCCTCCTCCACATCTCACAGGTTAACAGCCTCCTCCACATCATACAGGTTAACAGACTTCACATCTCACAGGCGAACAGCCTCCTCCACTTCTCACAGGTGAACAGCTGGTTATTGCATTAGTGTGTTTATGAACATTTTAATCAGGGTGAAATAAATGAATTGTGGAGGTTCTTACTATAACAATCTAATGATTTGGGGGTGAAGTGACGGCTTAGTGATTAAGAACCCTGGCTGTCCATGCTAAAGACCTGGGAGCATTTCCAGAACTCGCAGCTCCAGCTCCAGGGGATCCATTGCCCTTCTCTGGCTTCTTTAGGCATTGCATGCTTGGGTTCACTTAAATGCAGGCAAAACACTCACACATAAATAAGAAAAAATAAGTTATAAAATTTTAAAAAAGAATATAATGATCTTTAAGATTTTATTTCATTTTTAATCACATGTGTTTGTGAATGTCTGTGTGTGGATGTGCATATGAGTGTAGGTATAATAACCAGCAAAGGGAGAGAGGGTGACACAGGTGAACCCACAGCCCTTGATATTCAACTCTAAACACATATCACATGTCATGTATGCATATGTGTGAATGTATACATTTCTGTTGGTATTTCAGTTTATTTTTAAAGCAAAAAATGGTGACTCAAGGCTTTTGACTTGATCATTTTCAAATTTGCTCATCTATTTTTCAATGTATTTTTGTATTAATTTGCATATGTTGTTGCTATATCAGATCAACAACTTGACTTCAACTGTTTTGATCCTTATAGTGAGGACTTTAACTTCCCAATATGAAAAATGAGTAAAAGCCACAAAGTCCAGGCATCAACATCTCATCATGACCGTGAGACATTCTGAAGCATTGTCTGAGTCTTCTTCTCTAACACAGAGAGAACTTGGGTCTGAAAGGAAAGCCTATCTAACCAATAGTGGAACTGAGAATGTTTGGCCTCTTAGTCAAGCAAAACCAGGGTCAGGCACCTTTAAAGAGACTCTCCTACTCCCTAGGTTGTGAGAGTTTTGTTTATTTACTTGACTTTCTCTCTTTCTCTACTTCTTTCCATGTTTAATTTCATGCATTAATTGCTTTGGAAGTTCTCAGAAGTAATAACATTGGCCTCATGTTTTCCTCATCCTCTGGAGAGTTGCAAAGACTAAGCTCTTAAAAACCATCTCTCGTTTGTGGAGGCCACATATGTGTCTTGCTTCTAACACCTCGCTGATGCAAGGACTCGGTGATAAATGAACTTCTGTGTAATTATACAGCCTAAATGTACAGCATCCACCAACCAACTGTCTCTGCTTTCTCTGTGTGTGCTCTTTCTGGTGACTCCCTCTTTGAAAGCACAAGAGGCTTCCACGTCCTTCCTGTGTTTCCAGGTATTTGGGAACTCAGCTTCATTCCACATCCGCTCCGGGTTTTCCCCTGGAACTCTTGTATTCCTCTCTGAATCTTGCCTTTCCAACTTCATATGACAAGGCACTACAGCCCTAACAGGAACAGATTCGTTGTAATCAAATCCTTGCATAAATGTGCTATTAAAATGAAATTTAAAGGAAATACAAGGTGGATTGTTTGAAAAAAATGGAATATTAATAGAGAAACAAATAAATTACAAAGTGACTCAAGCTAAGCGCTGCCTTCTGCAAACAGCAAACTGCAAAGCTCCTTGTATGCTCCTCACCCTTCTGCTCTCACCCTCTGAAGACAAGAATGATGTCATTTCAGTTGAGCTAAAGGTCATTTGGACTGTTTCCCGGTGTCTGATTAACTAAACTACCAGAATAAAGAGTTCAAGGCTCCATTTTAAGTTTAATTTTCTGTTTTGTTACTACCTTGAAGTTATGGACATGTGAATTACTTGGTGAGACCCCCCTGCCGCTTCCCCACACACCACCTCTATGCTTTATTCTCACCAAGAAAGCTCTTCTGAGTTGGTGGTGATGGATGCAGCTTTCTCTCTTTCTCTCTCTCTCTCTCTCTCTCTCTCTCTGTCTCTCTCTTTCTCTGTCTCTCGTACACACACAGAGACAGAGATACAGAGACAAAGACAGAGAGAGACAGAGAGAGCGCAACCCAAATCCCATTAAATCATTCAAGCAGAAGGAATGGAAGACTGAGGGAACCAGCTGGCTAGAGTGAAATTGGCAGGTCCAACCAGGGAAAGTCAATTTGCCAAGATTTAGTCTTCTGTTAGGTCGTCTGTTTCCTCCTAACAAACAACCCTTGGATATTTATAGACATAAATGAGCTTTTATTCTCCAGAATAGCCAGTAATTTGTCATTTCTGGTATTTGAATGTCAGTCATGGGGAAAAACTAGAACACTCAAATGCAGTCTCCTACACGTGTAAAACAAGGAACAGATACATTAATTTTCTGTACTGATTGCCAAACTAAAAACAGAATTTGTGGAGACTTTATACAGTTGGCAGGCACTATGCATGTTGCTGGCCAGCTGAACATTATTTATAAGACATTCTGAAGTCGAAATACTTTCAAATATGTGCATTTCCAGTCTTCCTACTGTCAGGCTTCCAAATCACCTGAACAGTCTAGAATCACCTTTGGTGAGGGGATTTCTCACCTAATCCAACTCAAAATTTAAGCCTCAAAGTTCAATTTTTGCCTGTCTGAAGGAAACTTGACTCTGTTGGTGCTCTATCCAGAAGGACCAGGCTCCTGCAGGATGAGCACAGCACGTTGCCATGTGCCTGTTTTGTTTTCCCATTGTTGTTTCAAGTTTAAGAAAGTTAAAGTGACTTTCAGCTTGTTGTCACCTAGAAGTGATTTAAGTTGTATGGGGGAAGTTGGGAAAACCATGTGTGTAAGTATGATGCAGTTACATGATTATATACATGAATTAACAAAAAGGCACATGTGTGATTATAGCAGACTAAACTTTCATAAAAATAATTTTTATAATTTTTTATACTTTTCACCAATTAAAAAACTCCATGATCTATAGTAACTTGTGTTTTGTGAGCAGAAGTTCCATACGTCACATATGTAATCAGTAGGAGTAACAGATTTATAGTGTATCTGACAGTTCCAGCCTAAACATCAGTGGACCTTAGTGTTGTCTTCAGTTACAGGATGCACAGTGATTTCTCTTGAAAATTATTTTAAATTGCCCTAAAGGGTTAAAAAAAACCTGGTATGTGAAGCATAAAGAAGTCTACAAAAGCTAAAAGTCCTGCTAATTTATATATAGGAAACATGATTAAAAAAAATCAGACATGGTTAATAGCTTATAAAAGCATAAAAACATTTCTTATCATGGTTTTTAGGATACTGAACCTACATAAAGGTCTTCATTTTTGTCTCCTTTAAATTCTAGAACAGAATTTACAAATTCCAAAATCTCCAGGACCCAGCAAGGTAGTAATGCCCACAAGCAGAGGAAATTGAGCATAAGAATCATTTGAAAGTTAAGAACCTGGGGAAGCTGCAAGCAGATGGTGTCTAAAAGGATGTCCAGGCCTGGTGTTTGGATCTAAGCATCACGGGAAATAGAAATGAGAGGATTTTTGTAATTTGGGATGTAAAAAACGTAGGTCTGCATGTGAAATGTCCCAATTTGTTCATATCAGTGCAGATGACAAAAAAATTATTGGTGGGCTAAAACATAAAAAGAGAATTCATAGTCGTTATCCAGTACAAATTTGTGCCCATTCACACACACACACACACATACACACACACACACATACACACACACACACACACACAGAGGAAAATGGTAAGCTATTTGTCTCTGAGTAGCTAGTAGTGATTGAGTCCTCATTTCTCTCTCATGCCTAAAAAGATGAGTCAGCGAACCCTATTCATGGACCACTCATTGCCAACTCAGCAACCCCACCTTTGAAGATTTCGCTCATTGGTTAGAGAATCAGGAGAAGTTACTTGCAGAATACCCTTCCTGACTAATGGCAATGTCAGTGACAGGTACTGGGGACTCAGAAGGAAAAGTGGCCTGTTTTCTTCAGAAGCACATCTGTCCACATGTGTGGGAGGATATCATTCACATGGATTTTGGTAAGTTTTGACAAACACCCTTTAGCTGTCATAGATTGAAATAGTTGGTGGGGTTTTTCAGAATTGCCACAGCTTCCAGATCTGCCCATGGGAGCCACAAGATTGAGAGCTTCAGGCTGAGGGCATTACATGTCCCTTGAGCTCATATACCAGTCACCTAAGCTTCCTAGCTTCTACAGTAAATCCCTTTCTAACGGGAATGTACAGAATGCCAATTTCAATATTTTCCTGATATAATGTCATTTAGGTCCCATAAATTATAGAAAAATCAGGCATATTTGCCTATTTTAGTAGGATTATTTTTTCCTTTTTTTAGCTAGTTGAGCTGTGACTTGGCAGATTTTTTTTCCTGTTCATTTGGTTGCTCTCCCTCACTTATCTGAAAGATTTTTCTGAGCAGTATTTTTGAATATTGTCCATATTTTTTCTTCATGTTCATTTGTTTCTGTATGTGGTAGCTACATGAGTCACAACCCTAAAGTTTCTGTGTGTGAATCAATAACAAATTTGGTAGTTTGCTTTAGTGTCAATTTTCAGATGAAAAACACACTCAAGTATTAAGAGAGAATTATTTCTAAAGTAGAGATGTACTCCACTTTCAGCTCTGGCTGTGAAATGCACTGCGATGTAGTGCACACTCTCTCCTCCCTGTACTTATGTGGGATGCCATGTTTATTGCACATCAAAGTCCAGGCAGAAAAGCCTGTGTCCCTGAATCATTGTCAAGAATGAGACCACTCAGGACAGCTCCGGACTTACATGCAGTGTTGGGAGAAAGAGTAAGTCTTGTTTATCTGGGTTCTGTGATGGGGGTTTTCTTATTATTCTTGTATGAAAAAGCCCATGTCTACCGATTCAAGAAGCAATTATAAGTAAACACACTATGGCACAACGTAACCCGCTATCTTTTCTCAGGAGTAGAAAACCATTGACAGGAATAATGAAACAAATCATTTTAGAAGGGAGTTCAGACATTTAAAAGGTAAAC